TTGAAACTACGTGTAATGTGTGGAGGCACTTTAATATGTCTGATATCGTGCATAATATGCACAGGCAATGAAAGTCTTCTTCAAAAGGCCTTGTCCGCATGTGCGTGTCTTATCTCCTTTTCATTTACATATCTACTCTGCAGAAAATATATTTCTTTCATTTGATAGAGGCAAGTTTTGCAATAAAGCATCAAATTAACCATAAAGTTAAAACAGTTGACTATAAACTGCAAATTTGGCAGCAAACTATTATAGCAATCCAACCAAGCCCCAGAAGAATAGATAAGAATTCTTCACTCACCTATCTCTTCTAGGCTCTTGCCTCCTCCTCGGTCCTGCAGGGAGGAGTAAGTGAGGGTTTATAACCAGGTCCTTTACTATTGAAAGCTCCGCCCCCTCAAAAGACTAACCAATGAGCATTCCAGTTTGCCCACACACCTCGGGAGCTTCATTTTACCTATTGTTTGTATGTTTGATAGTGATTGAGTTAACCCATGAGAGAAGACAGTAAGATTCCACTGGCTCATCCAACAATTATTTGCTGAATACCTCTGTGGCAGGCACTGTCTTAGGCCTCGACTTTACAACACATGACAGCATGTATATCCTATGAGGAAAGACAGGCAATATCAATATGTATTTTAAAATGCAGTTTGTTCAAAATAATAATAGCAGCAGTATATTGGATGGTACGACTTGTGGATAAGTGAAATGCGTGAAAGCCAAGTTCTGACGCACGGGAGCAATTGGGAGCACTCTGCGATGAGGTCCCTGAACTACCTGTGAATTGTACAATGCTATACAAAAGTGGTCTAAGATTAGCTGTAAATATATACTGCAAACTCCAGGGCAGCCACCAATATGTTTACAAAAAGTATGAGTGATATGCCAAGAGAGGAGAGAAAATGGAATCATATAAACGAAAAGAAAAAAGAAACAAAGAACAGGGACACAATAAAAAAGTTACAAACATGGTGGATAATCCAGTGACATCAGATATTCCTTTACATGCCAATGGTCTCTTACTTTTTTTTTTTCTTTTGAGACTTTGTTGGAGTCTCACTCTGTCAACAGCTCATCGCAGCCTCTACCTCCTGGGCTCAGGTGATTCTTACATCTCAGCCTCCCAAATAGCTGGGACTACTGGCATGTGCCACCATCCACGACTTATTTTTTGTAGAGATGAGGTCTTGCTATGTTGTCCAGGCTGGTCTCAAACTCCAGGGCTCAAGCTAACCTCCTGCCTCAGCATCCCAAAGTGCTGGGATTATAGGTGTGAGCCATTGTACCCTGATGCAAATGGTTTTAAATACTATTTAAATGTCTTTTAAATAAAAGAGACTATCGTGAATAGGTTAAAAAAACAAGATGCAACTCTATGCTGTCCAAGTATAGAGACAGCCTGATTAAGCAGATAAGAATGCTGGAGGGTGCTAAGTGCTATGATGAAAATAAAACAAGAGTATGAGAAAGTGGTACAGGGATGTGTGGAGTGCTTCATAGATCTCAGGGTCAGAAAAAGATTCCCTTGCAGGAGGATGTTTGCACTGATCGAATAAGGAGCCTGCCATGGATGTCCTGGGGCTTGGTCTTTGGGTTGAAGGAATAAAAAGCACATTCAGCCACAAGGAAACACTAGCAAATACAGACCTCCATGCTGGCTATTGTCTGTTGCAGCACCTGGCCATGGAATTGAGCCCTGCTCTCTTCTGTCCTCAAAGAGGCTAGCCCTGCACACTGCCCAAGCTGGTGGCGGACAGGAGGAGAGAGTCAGGTATTTCGTTGGGCACTCAGTCTGCTAAAGCCTGACAGGTGCTGGGTGCCCTGGCTTGTTAAGTGCTGCACTTCCTTGTGTCCCAGACACCATAGCCTCACTGTCCAGTCTTCCTCCTTTGTCTCAGTGACACGTATCTCTGCACTTTCACCCCGCTGGCTCACCTGTACTGGCTTTGGCTCCGTGAGTCCTATGTCTTCCCCCTGCTCTTTCTTGCTCCCTGCCTCAAGCTCTATTTGGGTTCATCCCCAACACTCTAGTATGTTGATTTTTTTTTTTATTTTTAAGGATAAACCATCCTGTCTCTGATCCCCCCTACTCTATTATCAAAGTCTGGGAACTCATGAAAATGGGGGAGGGGGGAGTAAAGGGAGATCTGAGAACAAAAGGGGAGAGTCTGAACCAAAAAGAGAATGTGATGAAACTGGGGTAATACCACCTGGGACAGGACGGGGAGGGGAGACTGGTTTCCAATTTAGGAAGTGAACTGCACAATTTAAGGTCATGTAACCACGAACATGAAAAACATGGGAACCTCTTTTTATTGAAACCAGACTGACCTCTTGTTTATGTTGTCCCTAATCCTTTAATTCAATGCAGAAGTCAATCTTCCTCATTAGTTTTTTCCTCAAAGAGCCAGAGTTGAGGGCCCCCTTGTGTCTAAGAGAATTATTTTTACTTTTATTTTTATTTCTTTGAGTTGGAGTCTCACTCTGTCGCCCAGACTGGAGTGCAGTGGCCGCTCCCGGCCACCGCAGCCTCGACCTGCTGGGCTCCGACGATCCTTCCGCCTCAGCCTTCCAAGGAGCCGGAACTATAGGCACGCGCTACCATGCCCGGCTGATTTTTTGTAGAGATGAGGTCTCGCCCAGTTGCCCAGGTGGGTCTCGTACCCACGGGCTCAGGCAATCCACTCACCTCGGCCTCCCAAAGCGTGGGATTACAGGCTGAGCCACCGAGCCCAGCTGTCTAAGAGAATTAAAACCCTAAAAGCAACGCTTGCAAAATGGCTTAAGGTCTACACAGCAAGCCCTAGATTCCTAGTATCAGGCAGGTTTAATATTCCTTATCTGAAATGGTTGGGATCAGAAGTTTTTCAGATTTAGGATTTTCTTTTTTTTTTTTCTTTTTGCAATATTTGCATTAAACTTACTGGCTGAGCATCCTAAATGCAAAAATCTGCAATCTGAATTTCAGATTTTGGAGGATTTCGAATTTCAGATTTGGGGTGCTCAACCTATAATGCAGACCACTGAGTTCTATCAAGTCAGTGTCTGGTTCTGACGTGTCAGTTAATCTCTAAATGAGTATAGAATGTTTCTCCTTCCTGAATTGTTCAGAAGAGCCCCCCCCCCCCCCCCCCCCCCCCCCCCCCCCCCCCCCCCCCCCCCCCCCCCCCCCCCCCCCCCCCCCCCCCCCCCCCCCCCCCCCCCCCCCCCCCC